AGGTTTATAATGCTTGCACTACCTATTTCCAGGCTTCTCATGAGGTTAATCACTTTGCAAACTTTCAAATGTTATAAGATAGGACTTTATTTTATTATTATTTCAGCCAATGTCCAATTCCTGAAGAGGTTGGTCTCTCTTTCTGACTATGGGTCTTGTACCACACGCACTTGCCCCCCTCTAAGCAAAGGGATTTTTCAGCTCTCTCTAACTAAAGCCAACTAAGAAAAGACACTTGGAGACAAAGAATTCTTGTGACATTTCTTTGAAGGGTTCCACTTTGGTTAAGTAACCGACCAGGTGGAAAAACTGAGTGTCTAAACTCATGAATTCTTTTCCAGGACGACAAGCACAATCAATCAATCCACGTAAATTGGCTTGCTCTATGGAAAAGTAGTGCTGGTTGGAGTGCTGAACCCGGAGTCAAGAGATAGGATCAAATCCCATCTTAGACATTTACTGGCTATGTCACAATGAGAAAGCTCCATGGCCTCTCTGGGCCTCACTTTTCTCATCAGTAAAATGGGAATAATAACAAGTACACTATCTGCCCCCAAAAGGTTCTTGTAAGGAAATAAAGCACTTTATTATTACTATTCAATTTTACAGTTTTAATTGGCGCAAAGACCCATAGTATTGCTGATTAAAAGTGGAAATTAATCTTATACACACACACTTACATATATACATATATACACACATACATATACATGTAGATAGACATATGTGTCTATATGCATATAGGTGCACATACACACATATATCATTTATATACATATAAAACTCTATTCCAATATAATCTTATGTACTTTATTTTATGCATTCAAAAACAATATTAATAGAGGCCTATAGACTTCACCAGGCTTCACCCAATGTGTTTATGACTCACAAAAATGGATAAGAACCTCTGATCTAGTCCAATCTCTCATTTTATAGAAGAGGCTCCACTGAATCTCAGGGAGGTCATGGGCTCATGGAATCATAGATGTAGAGCTGGAAGGAACCCCAGAAGTCACCTATTTTCAAAACCCCTTTTTAAACCTGAGAAAATAAAGGCCCAAGGCGGTCAAGACCTGTTCAAGGTCATCCAGCTAATAAAGCAACAGAATCAAGATTTGAACCCCGGGTCCACTGACTACATCTTTCCTTCCTGGACTAGATTATATATTCTGGTATTATAAACTATATATCCTATACATCAGAAGACATAATCTGATTCCTGCTCCAGTCAATGCAGCTATTTAGTCAATTTAGACTATATTTACTTATTACTGAAGGACTAATTTACCCTCCCAGGGTAAATAGGTAGGACTGCCTAGAGAGTGTATTTTCACAGTAATTATTTTTTCTTTTATTTTTCATCTAGCAGGGTGATTTCATTCATTCCTAGTGAAGAAACTCCCTCCACCAATGTATATTAGCTTCTCCTTTGTAATTTATGGACCTGGGAATGGAAAGTTAAGTAACTTGCCCAGGGTCCCATGGACAAGTGTAACAAAGCTCTAACCCAAGTCTTTCTAATGCTATCTATAGTACTATACCATGCTAGTACTTATCTTATAACCTTATTAATAATCTTTAAATGATTTGTTGGTACCCCAACCTCAGTTTCCATCTATAAAAAGGGCATAATAATTCATGTACTACATTAAGTAACCCAAAACGCTATTGTGAGGCTCAAATGAAATATTGGCTGTAACGGACTTTGTAAACATTAAAAAGCAATTGGTAAAAGTCAATTACTGTTCTTTCTACTAAGGCAAAAATTCCCACAAAAGTGATCCATAATGTACAATCCTTCCTCATTTTTAGAGGATCTCAGAATTCTACTATTGAAAGACTGTGGTACAGATCAAAAGGGAACTGAATGGGAAGTTAGAAGACCTGGATTCACATCCCAAGTCTTCTACTTACCCCCCAGAAGGCAGAACTAGAGGAAAGTATCAAAGAGTCAAACTTAGGCTATATGGAAAGAAAAATTTCATAGCTCTTAGAGAGGAATGGACTACAGGTGAAAGGAATGGGATCTCCCCTCCCTGGGGGTCTTGGAACAAAGGCTGTATGCTGTAGTGGGGATTTCTGGTGATGCAGTTTGGCTAAATGACTACTAAGATGCATTCTGATTCTTTGATTCTGTCCATTTATTGAGAGTTAGGATGTGGTAGCCCCTTCATATATCAAAATATCCATACAAAATTTGTAGATTTCCTCTGAAAACACAGTAGGGTTTTTTTTAAAGTATTCTTGCTCTGTAGAAAAAATAGTATTCCTCTGAAGGAATTTGTGATTTATATTCAAATAGACCAGATTATACATTGTAAAATCTTCTCAAGTTCTTGTTTATAAAATTTTCCTGTGTAATATATTCTGGCTAAGCTTCTAAGATTTTCCATTTTCCTCCAAAGGAATCTTCCTGTTTTAAAGTTTACTCTACTGGCATGTAGAAAAAATGACCCTTATTAGTTTGGGGCTTTTTGTTCTTTTTTGGTAGTGGCACGAGTGGCAGAGAAGTATACTGGGCAGCTATAAGAAGCAAAACCTAAGAGGAGACAGTGTGGTGCAATGGAAAGAGACCTAGGTCTGAAGCTGGAGGTCCTGGGTTTGAATCCCACCTTTGCCACTGACAACCTCTGTTGCTTTGAACAAGTCATTCTATCTCCTTGGGCCTTAAAAAATGGGGAGGGGATATATCAGGCTACATGACCTTGAAGGTACCTGTAAGCCTTGGATCTAAGATCCTATATGCTTACCAGGTTTGAGGTTCTTAAGAAGATAACTATGGATTTTTCTAGAAGAAACAGATTAAATTATATTCAAATTGTTACCACTAGCACATTATCTTTTACCCAGAGATTATATGAAGCCAGTCCTAGAAACATAGGATGGTGGGCAGGTAAAGCAGGTGTGGGTATCTCTTTCACCCAGTTCCTCATGAAAATCAAAAGGAAGAATTTTTTTTTCCAATGGCTGTTCTTAAAATGATAAAGGGATGAGCCTCAGGGCTGGATGTCTGTTGTGGGAGTTTGGAGACTCATGGCATAGATCAGATTTGACAAAAGATCTCTTCTTCTCCTCTTATACCCTAAACTTCATGTGCCTCACCTTCCTTTGGTTCTGAGCATGTTGAGATCAGATTTTGAGCTGGTACAAGCCCCAACTTTGGTACAAGATGAGGAAACCAAGGACCAGAATGGTGAAGAGACTTACCCAGAATTATGCAGAGGGTGAAGAGGTGGAGTTGGGTTTCCAACCCAGATCCTTTTTGATTCTAGAACAAATACTTTTTTCCACTGAACATGAAACCAGGTTTCTGTCTTTGTTGCCACAAATACTAAGGTGAGAAGTGTGGAAAAGTATAGACTCAAGGCCTTAGATGATATTGCCAGCTACTGACTGTTTTCTTTGCTGGGAGGAGAAGGGAGGAGCACAGGAAGTTTCTTCCCCTCCCACTGAAGCCCTGCCTCCCAGGGTTGGACAAGGGCTGAGATTAGTTTTCTTTCTCCCTCTTGCTCAGCCCTTCAGATCCCAAAGCCCACACATTGTTGTGGAAGTTAGGGATTTGGCTGGTGTTAAGGATGGGTTCTTTTTCTTTTTTCTTTTTGAATATTAGAAGAACTTAGCTAGAAGACAAGGGTTCCCAGCTGGGGAGAGCTAGTCCAGTTGAAGAATTGGCTGGGTTGACCGATCCAGCTGTCCAAGTGCGAAGCTAAGTGCTTGAAAGAGGATTATTGCTGCACTAGAATAAACAGTAAGTGAGAGAATGCCAATAGAGTGCAGAGCAGTGTTTACCTCCCCGGGCTGGAGGGGTGACTTCAGAAATGGGCTTGATTTCGGGAGCAAGAGCAGGAGTTTTATGACTCAAGGTCCATTTGCAAGAGGGGTTTGCTGCTGGCTATTGAACAAGGGCTTAAGAAAGAAGGGCTCGGGAAGATCGTCTTTTAGCACTTCAGGGATGCGGACAGATGCCTGTTCACTTTGAGTAACCACATGCCATAAAGTTAGGCTTGAATCAATCAGAGACCAAAATTATAGGGAAAAGTAGGCTGTGAGCAAGGAATAGGAGAGGAAGAGGAAGGGGGAGGGAGAGGGAGGAGACTAGTGAGGAGCGGGAGGGAGAAAGGGGGAGAGAGACAGAGGGAGAAACAAAGAGATAGAGAAAAACAAAGAAACAGAGAAAGAGGGAGCAAGAGAGAAGAAATGAAAGAAACAAAGAAACAAAGAAACAAAGAAAGAAAGGGAGGGAGAAAGGGAGGAAGGAAGGAAGGAAAGAGAGAAAAGAGAGAAAGAAGGAAGGAAAGAAGAAAAGAAGGAAGGAAGAAGGTGATGAAAAAGAAAGAAGAGGGAAACAGAGTTCAGGGTGAGGAAGGGAGATGAGAGACAGAGAAAGCAGAAGAAAGACAGGGAGAGAATGACAAAGAGAGCAGAGTCAAACAGAAAGATGCTTGAAAAAGAGGGAGAAAAAGAGATGGGGTGAGGAGAGGAGAGACACAGACAGAGAGACAGAGAAAGAAAGAGAGAGAGGTGGCAATCAGAAGTGGAGTTTTGGAGATTAGGGAAAGTATTACTTCTTTAATTTGTTCACAATAATAGCCCAGAACTCTAACTCCAAAGAGCCCAGAAAGTGTTGATAGAAAGAGGTTAAAAGCTTTGCTAATGGGAAAGGTTTTATTCCAGGGGACACAGAGTATAATTGAAGAATGGACTGAGTGGGAAAGGAAAAAAATAGTAAATAATAGATGAGCTTCAAAAGAAGCTTCAGCTAGGGACAGAGATACCCTGGAAGGAGAATCAGGAAAGGAAGCCATCAAGTTTTTGATTCCTTTTTGTGCTAGTGGCCTGCCCCCGTCCCCGATGACTACTTGCCCAGATTGGAGACTGTTTCAGGGATGCTTCAGTCCTTGATGCATGTTCTAAATGTCATCGCTGTGCCAGATTCGGGGTCCTATTGTGCCAAACCCTGGCAATGAAGCCACAGTTCGGTTGGTGCAAGGAATTCTGGGATGTCTGAAAGTGACATGAGTGGAAGGACTCACATCCCATCTCTCTTTAATGCCCTATTGTCCAGAAAACTGGCCCTGCAAGTCAGCTACTTGGTAGGTATACAGACAAATAATCCAAGAGGTGCTCTAAAACAATCTCTCCTTTAGATGGCCTGGGCGATTTACCTCCCAACACCCACTTAGACTGAGAGGGCAAAAGGGCAAAGTGATAGGAATTGGAATGGGTGGGAAGAAGCAGGTTGATGGAAGTCAATCAAGCTCTTTTCGATTTCCATCCAGCCTGAAATCTAACCTCAAATGAAAGCAAGAATAATCAGACAGAGAAACACCATGACCATCTGTTCTGTTCCATTCTAAATTCTTGAATAAATGAATGGAAGCCCAGGTTTTAGGTCTGCATCCATATACTTGGAGATTCTCTTTGCTAGAATAGGCACTATTGCCTGTCTCATTTATTCTGGTGGGGGGGGGAGGGTTGGGGATATGCAAAGTTGGGGTAGAAATGTTATTCGAGTGGTCAAAGACTTGGCATATGGGCAAATATTATCTCCACTAGTTTCTTAAAGATTTGTGACTTTTCAAATGACACCATGTACCCTCTAAGGACAGGTATATTCTAATTTATATCAGTTGGGAGTACAGAAAATTTGGGGTTTTTAAGTTTCTTAACTTTTATTGACAACTCAAAAGCCAATGTCATTTTAAAAAATAAACTTGGGATATGGGTGTCTATTTACTTATTTTTTTCTCCACTTTAGTGATCATCTAGTATGACAGGCATGGGCCTCAGGTATATTTGTCTTAGACTTTCTGACCCAAATTACAAAGAAACAATAAAGTTTAAATTGGGATTCAGGTGGAGTTCAGATAGGTGGGAGGTCAGGCTTCTTTTTCATAACTATGGCAAAAATGAAATGATCTCTAGTCTCTGTTTCCAAACTAAAACCTCCCAAGAATGTGTATATGGCTGCAAGTGATTGGGGGTGTGGTCACCAAGGTAAAAGAAGGGCCTGAGTATAATCAGGCTAGTTGGAGGGCTTTGCAATCTAGCCGATGATCTATTTGTTTCTCCTTTTAAAAAATGTCCTTAATATATAGAAGTGTTTCTTGCTCCATCTTGTGACTTATTTCAGACGGTTTCCCCGATGGTAATTTCATCTGGTCTATGTACAAGGAGAGAACAACTTTAATTTTGTCGTATGGGCAGTGTGACGTTTCCCCTTAATTCAGGATCATCCCAGTCTTAAACAACTATTTACACAATTTCAAGACTGAAAAAGAAGTGCTAGGGCCACAAGTGTCTCTAAGGCAGGGTTTCATAATCTGGGGTCTGTGAACTTGTTTTCTTAATATTTTGGTAGCTATATTTCAATATGATTGTTTTTCTTCGTAATCCTCTGTACTTTATTTGATGCATTTAAAAACATTATTCTGAGAAAGGGTCCATAGGCTACACCAGACTGCTAGATGGGTCTATGACATAAAAATCATTAAGAGCCTCTTCTATTAGTAATTGCTCATGTCTCTCTAAGTAATGCTCAAACTGACCAGGAACCATGAAAGTAACAAGGGCCCCAGAGAAGGGAGCTAAAGTTTGGTTAGAGGGCACAAAGAGGGGAGGGGGATAGCAAGAGAAGTCAACAAAAATGAAAACTGAGTTATTACCAACCAGCAGCTTAAGGAAACTAGAGGACCTTTGCTTACATACATACAAGATCTGCAGAAAGTGTAATGAATTATGACTAGCCAATACGGTGAAACAAAGGAATTCATTTTTTACTGTTGAATTTTAGCTGGGAGTTAGACCAGTTATTAATGGAAAGAGAATAGAGATCAATAATGCTTCAAAATTACCGAGCTACTGAAACGCTTTTTAAAATTATTCTTTCACAAGAAAAGTAAAGAAAAAGGATATGGAAAGCTAAGCAGTGATGAAGACATCGAAATAATTGTTGATCAAAACCAGGTAAGTGGATGTTTCCATCAGTTTCCTTTTGCTTGTTCTATATTCCTGAATGTTGACATCCCTGATAGAGACTGAGGTCCTTTTATCTGCAAGATCTATGGAGTGTTTCTGTGTCTGTGTCTATGTCTGTGTGTCTGTCTGTGTGTGTGTGTGTTAGAGTCCTCTGTCTATGACCTTCCTAGCAAGATGGGTTCTGAGACCATCTTTTGTTGGACTGACTGGGTCAATAACCACCTACAAAATGGTCGGTGGATGGATGCATTGCAAAACAGAAGCAAAATTGGGTAAGAGAAATTTTGAAGAGTCAGCTAATGAACTGAGCCTAAACATGGATGGTAACTGTGGAATGAATTAGATGAGAATGGAAAAGGGAAGCCTTCTATTGATACAGAATATTTTCTAGAGGATTAGATCATGGCCAAAGTCCTTTCCAGCTCTAAATCTATGCAACTACAATCCTATGATGATACATTGTACTCACAATTTTTCTTGCTTGATTCTCACAACAACCTTATGAGATAGGCAGGGCAGGTGCCATTCCTTTCTTTTCCTCTCCTCTCCTTTCCTCTCCTCTTTTCTTTTCTCTTCTTTTTTAGACCAGACCAGTGACTTCTTTGGCCTAGGGAACTTCTGTTAAGGAAAATCCCTCTACCAATGTAGATTGCCACCTGCTTTGCCTTAATGCATCTTTAGTATGGTACGTAACAAGGGAGACAAGGGATTATTCTATTAATCAGGACTCCAAATTCCCACCAGTAGCACTAGGAGTAGGACAACACATGCTCCCCCCTTAGAGATTGACCTGGGGGCTCTGAGAGATTAAGCCAGGATGTGTCAGAGGTGACACTTAACCCACCTAATCTTGCCTCTGAGGCCAGATTTATACCCACCACACACATAGCTCTCACGGAATGATATTTTCAAGATAATAAAACTGAGGTTTAGAGAGGGCCGTAGGGCCCTCTAGATTGGGCAACAGAATGCAGGTTTCTTGATTTTCATTCCAGTATGTTGCTTGAGATCACATATAGCAAATTAACTTTAAAAAAGCAAAGACAGACAGAGAAGGCTAAAAAATTATTGACAGTTTCTGCTCATTAAAGATCTTGTCAAATATTATAGCTGATTTTTGAAAGCAAAAAAGGTGAAAAACTGAGATGATTATGAAAAAAATTGCCTGCATGAACTTTCTTAGACAAAATGGTAAAACTGCTTAATAACACCATGAATTTAAAGATGAATTAGAGGCTCTTGGAAAGCTTTTTGGCTTCCCATCATTTGAAAAGACTCTAACTCTGATTTTATATGAGCACATAAAAGGTGAGCTGAAAACTGGCTAATGGCCCATAAACAATGACATGCTAAGTAATGAGAGGTGTCCAGCACAGGGCTGTGGGAATCGGCACCAGCCCAGTTTCTGACATCTTTGTTAAGGAAATTGGAGACGGGGCAAGCAGCAAATGCTTTTGAGGGGGAGGAGGCCCAGAAACTAGCACTGGTGCCAGCTCAAATGAACAGAGAGAAATGATCTGATGGGCCTACAAGAGGTCTTGTGGCTCAGGGTCGATACAGAGAACGCTCAAACCAGACAGGCACACTTAAGAGAAGGAGGCCAAGATGTCCTAATTCAAATGAGCCTGATGGGACCAATATAAAATGGGCCACCACATTGGGAGAAAGTATGGTGTGGTAGAAAGAGGGTGAATCTAGAATCAAGAGATCTGTGTTTGAATTTCGTGTTTGCCATTTATTATCCATTTGACTTTGACCAGGACTCTTAATCTCTCTGAACCTCAGTTAACTCATCTTTAAATTAAGGGATTTAAACTAGATGACCTCCCTTTAGAAACTTTAAATATCCACGATTGAAAGGAATGGGGAAGCAGGTAAAGTCAACTAGAAGATCCCAATGGGACCATCGTTGACAACTAAACTGTTGAGCAAACTGAGATGGTTTTCTGGAAAGACTGGTCGGGTCATGGGATCATAAACATGGAGCCAGAAGTCATCTAGTCCAACCTAATAATTTTACAGATGAGGAAACTGAGGCCTAGGGAACTAAAAAAACTTGCCTAAGTTGACTCAGTGACAGAGTTGGGATTCCAACCCAGGTCCTCTAACTCCAGCCCTCTATCCATTGCACTGTAGGAGGAACTGTGAAGTGTAAGGCCATCTTGGCATGGGCTTGTCAGCTAGCCTCATCTCGTAAAAGTGTCTCAGAGTCATCTTAGCAATTATTGTGTTCCCTGCCTTCTCCTACATACTCAGTTCTTCTGAGCCTACCTTCCCTTCTCCCCCAGCAGAATGATTCCTGAGTGCAGCAGGGGAGAAAATATGCATTTGGCTTGTGTTTCTGTCACCTACAGTCAAATTATCATTTTAATTAGTGAGGCAAGTGATGCTAGAGCTTGAGTACTAGGCTGGCCTATTAACTATCATTTTAATTATGCTTCAACAATGACTTAGAGGCATGTACTTTCCTCCTCCCATTGGTACTGATGGGAATTGGGGGCCCTGATTACTAGATTAGTCCCCAGAACTTTCCCTTTGGTTAAAAAAAAATGTTACGAATGCATTAGATACTCTATATATTTATGTCAGAGGCAGTTGGGAAGGTTGTGGTGGGACAAGGGAAGGATAATTACTTGTCTATAAAAAAATAACATAATCAAAGTATGTCTTTCTTTAAATTTTTCCCCCTACAATCATCAAGAAGGTGAGTTCTTAATTACTCTTGATTTTCTTTAGCATCTGGGGACACTGGAGCTCTACTTTCTTAAAGACTTGGTTTAACTAAACACCATGGTACAGAATCTAGAGAGATATTGTGAAGATTCCAGAAATGGGGAAACCAGGGTTATTTGTTTTCCTAAGGATGCCCTTCCCAGAGGCATCCCTCTGTAGCAAAATCTATGTGTTCTCTTATTGTGAGAGGGGCTGAAGAGGAGAGGAGTCTACTTTTTTGCTTCTTCAGAATCCCACACCTATGTCACTTCCTTCTTCTGGACCTCAGGGGGTGGAATAAGATTGATCCATGGTCCTGTCATTTAGGGCTTTCTCTCTGTGCTGTTGGGTCCATGCTTGGGAGATGACAGTTGGACACTACCTTTGCTCAGACCTTCGTGTTTGGACATGTTTAAAACCTTAGTCATGATGTACATGGTCTGGTTTTCATATATACTGTTAGCATGAGACAGCCTTTCCATGTCTGGGATATGTGTCTCACATTGAGGTTGTAAGAAAACCTTCTAGATTAAACAAAGACAAAGTTGATACACTGAGGTAAAATATTTGGGAACTCACTAATTAGTACTTGTGTGCCTGTGTGTGTTTAAAGACTTGGCCTGTGATTTCATCAGTGGAGGGAGCTTCCCTTGAATAAAAAAAAAAATCTCTTCACCAATGCAGATTGTCAACTCATCAGTAGCATGTCATCCTAGAGAGTAGTCTGGACCAAGTTAATGACTTGTCCAGGGTCACATAGTCAGTTTTATCAGAGGAAGGACTTAAACCTAAGTCTTCCTGACTCCAAGATTGACCTTCTGTCATATATATGCATTTTATATACATATATAGATATAGACATCAAAAGCATATAGAACTATGTTTTTCCTATATGTTTATATAGTGAAATTACCCTCTTATGTTACATGCATCTGTGAGCCAGGCAACAAGCATTTTTTAAGCACTTACTATGTGCCAGGTACTATGCCAAAAGCTCAAGACACAAAGAAAGACACCCCCTCCAAGATAGCCTCATCATCCCAAGAAGCATATGTTCTCAAGAGAGAACATGTAAATATCTAGGTATATACAAGCTAAATTCAGAATATGTGAAGGAAATCTGAGAGCGGAAGGCATGTGAAGATGAGAAAAGGATGGAAGAAGGGAGGAGTGGTAGGAAGAGAGAGGAAACAGAGAGAAAAAGAGAAATGGAGAGACAGAGAGAGATGAGAAAGATCCAAAGACAAGTGACAGAGAGATATGCGTTTTGTTTTTCCAAATGATATGTTTGCTTTATTAAATTTATATACCATAAAACGCAAACCATACTTCAGCTTGTCGCATTTTCACAGGCATCAGCATTCAGTCTGTTCTCCCATATTCATCTGGGAACAGCCTGGTGGAGTATGACCCTTCATTGACCACTCCCACAAGCCATGCCCATAGAAAACCCAGAGACATTAAATAAAATAATTGGAAATTGAGGCTGGGCAGAAGCACCCTGCTCTCGTTTTCTAAACAGCCATTCCAAAGCTCTCACTGCATAAAAATATGTAAGTTGTCAGAGCAAGAGGTTGCATTGGCATGACCCCTACTTCCTCGAAGACACTCAGATTTGCTGACTGAACAAAGTAATAACGGAAGTCAAAGCCGAGTCTTGTGTGGATTTTGCTCCCCTGAAAGCCTTGGCCCAGGCAAAAAAGGGCATGATTTTCCATCAACTCAACAAGCATTTATTAAGCACCTATTATATGTGAGGCACCATGTTAAGTGTTGAGCATACAAAGACAAAAATAAAAAGTTGCTGCCCTCAAGGAGTTTCCATTCTAGAGGGGAAGAGGCATACAAACAGGGAGATGTATATGTATATATGTATATGTGTGTGTGTATATATATATATATGCATGTGTGTGTATATGTGTGTGTGTGTGTGTGTATGTGTAGCTATGTAAAACTTCAGAAGAAAGGAAGCAGTCCATAATTGGGCTTCCTATAGGAAACAGCACATGAGCTGAGCTTTGATTCTGGCTTTTACTGGGTGGGAAAAATCATAGTAGAAATGTGTCAGACTGGCTTCGTGACAGCAGGGCTTAAGTCTATCCATGGCGAGATCGTCTCATCCCAATGTCACACAAATGTCCATGAAAAATTCCTGAGCACACTTTCCATGGGAACCAGTGGACTATGATGTCAGGAGCAGCATAATAGATAGCCAGCCTTATGAAAATAAATATTTTTCATCAGGAACTATGGCCAAATAAATGTTCGCACCGCAA